ATGATCTTGACCTGAGGTCAAACTTTCAAGTTGACCTTTCAAGGTCAAATTATAGTTTATTCGACGCGTCTCGGCGAGTGAAACACGATTCTGGCAATAAAAATGTTCTGGTTCTTTTTTAGTCAAAAGCTATCGTCGAAAAACACATTTCGTAAAAACTGCTCTTTTTTTGACTTATTGCCCTCTGGAGGCTAAACCGTTGACCTGAGGTCAATTTTGATGATAACCTTATCAAAAGAAGAGTTCAAAAGCTATCGTTTGCTTTTCCATGTGTTTTTCTAGCTTTCATAGTTCCTGAGATAATTGCATATTTTCTGAGAAATATAATGACATTTAGCAAATTTTGACCTTTGATGACCTACAGTGACCCCAATTTTGCTCTAAGATGAAAAATGACCGAGGTACTTTCAAGCGTACGCATTGAGAGCTATCGACTGCTTTTTACTGCGTCTTTCTAGCCATCTTAGTTTTTGAGTTAGAGGTGGGTGGTAACATATGCCCCCCCCCCCCCCCACTATGGCAAAGTTGGCCGAGACCGCCACTGGGGCGCGGGCTATGTTTTTTAGTAGTGATCAGCTGGGGCGCACTAGTCCCTTGTATAGGTACCTGATTTTTTTCAAATTATCAGACGTTATTTTCGATGAAAACACTTAAATAAATTGATAGTGTGAATATACTTGCTGTGAGCAGTAATCGCCACGCACTTTGTATGTGGATCGCTCTTAAATATAAATACAATATAATACAATACAAAACAATACATTATACAACACAATACAAGTGGTGTAGTTTTGGTCAAGTTTGGTGCATTCGTCAGATAACCCGTCGTGAAAACGGCTAAAATGCGTCTTTTTATGCGACATTGTCACCGTAATGATATTCAGGAAGCCATCATAGACCTGACCTAGCGCTAATTATCATTAGATTTCCCGCTAATGACCGTTCAGATGACATATCTTCCAAGAGCGGACGCCCGTCTCGCCGTGGCCGCCTCCGCGGTCGCTCCAGTGCAGCGGTCTCGGACACCTACCAGTCGTCTGCCGGGACTCATGTTGCTGGATGTCGGTGCCGCGCCGGTGTCGAGTCGGGCAGCTCACTCGGTCCGGCCAGTGCAGCCCACTGGTCGGGGCGCCTACTCGTGGGCACCTTATAAAGCCACGCTCAAACCACCCTGCCCTGCCGGCTTGCCTAACGCTCAGCCACAGAGGAAACGGCGGCTTCCGAGCAGCGCTGGTACGCAACAACACGCTCAGTAACAATCTGCTGCGCTGGAGCAGGAAAGGACAGCCCAGGGAAAGTACCGAGATACAGCACGGGGCCAGGTCAGGCCTGACAGAGGCCATCTCCGGCTACGGATTTTGCACCCTCAGTTCCTATCACCCTTCCCCTATAGCCGCTCAGACCATCATCAAACAAAAACCGAGTGTTTCCAGTGACGAAGAGGAGCAGATTATGCTCAATTTTCAAATTTTAGGTCACTGGTTGACCTCCCAGGTCACGTCAGTAACCCAAAGCTCGGGAAAATCTGAACCTGCAGGCTGCAAGTTATCTCGTGATATTCTTCACATTTTTTAGCGAGGTCCTGACATAGAATTTTGCATTTGTTTTGATCGAAGATGATGTATGTATCTATTCATGGTCTACATTTACAGTAAGTCGGGTCAACTCAGGTTGGGTCAATCAGAAGGCGTCCTGCCGGCTATCCACAGTACAAAGGTGTTACTGAAACACTTCTGGACAGCTTCACAGCATGTTGCATCAGCATAGACATCAAAGCTAGTTCTCAAATGTTCACATGGGTACGCGCTGAATTCAAAATAAGCTAAAAAAAACTACCAGGAAAAATGTTACCAAAAATTCAATCGAGTTCATCTAAGGTAAATGACCTTCACCTGACCTTCACGTGGATTTGGCAGCCACTATAATGCATGGGACAAACAGCATATGTTGGTCCGTTCTTATCGTAAAAAAGTCTGGAAACGCACGGATAATGTGGACTGACATCCACCGAATCGCTACTCTGGCGCCTTATACTCGGTCCCGAGAAAAAGATCTCAAGTCAAAAGATATTTGGGTCACAGTCAGTAGGTATACAATTTAGGGAGTTTGTAAAATTAATAAACCTGAAACATTTTACAGCCATGTTTTGCTTTTTACGCGAGTTATTACGAGCGAGCGAGCGCAGCGAGCGAAGTGAGTCTTTTCAATATAACGGAAAAATCTCAGTATGAGCGGCCCGGCCCGGCCCGGCCTGTAACGCTTTTGAGAGGCTTATATCTCAGCAACCGCTGGACCGATTGGCCTGCGGTCTTTTTTGCTGGGTAGCCCCATCCCTTCTACCCCGTAATTGACTACTTTTGATACAACTCAGTGACCGTCGTGGCACGTGCCACGTGAAAAGTCAAGGGTGTTCAAGCTGTTTTGCAAAAGTAGTGATTTTGAGAGGCTCATATCTCAGCAGCCTAGGCGATTGACTTGCGGTAATTTTTGTAGGATAGCAGCATCCCTTCTACCAAAAATAGGATACTCTCGATGCAGGTGGGTCACCCCCAGTGCACGTGCAAACTACAACAATAAGAGGTGTCAAATTTGTTCCCATTTTAATAACTCGGTAATTACTGGGGCGATTTCGCTGAAACTTGGCATACAGGTAGGCACTCACCAGGCAATGAATTTCCATGTGTTGCGGTTAGGGTGCTACTGCACGTGCGCACGTGCAGGGGGCGTTTCCAGATCTCGAGAACGGCTGGGCCGATTGCGCTCAAATTTGGTACACGGTTGGGGACCGGTTAGTAGGGTGCCGTGCAAAAGTCATTTTGGACCCCGTTTGCACGTGCGCACGTGCAGGATGCCGCTTCCAGATCTCAGGAACCGCTGGGCCGATTGCGTTCAAATTTGGCACACCGCTAGCCAGGGGCGGATCCAGAAAATCTCCAAGGGAGGGGCCATTAGAAACCAGGAGGCCCCCCCCCATAATCCCACCTGTTGGAGGCCCCATCTTCCCACTTGTTGGGCCCCCCCCCCCCAAAAAAAAACTGCGTCTATTGAGCTTATCTAGCTGTTCAGGCAACATCTCAACATCTGTGCAGGCTTGGAGGCCCTCTGTGCAGGTTAGGAGGCCCTGTAAAAGTGGTCATCTCTGTGAGTATAAGAGACCTCCAAGTTATGAAAAGCTTTACCAATCTTCTAACAAAGAAGTCTTCTCAGCTAGTCTTCTAAGAAATAACTAAGTGGGTAGGTTAAAAAAAACTCATCGGATTTCGGCCACTTTATTTTCAGGAGGCCCCCTTTTCAGCTTTTTAACTTTTTTAACTTTTTATTTTATTTTTGAATCGGCCAAGGGGGGGGGCCATGGCCCCCATGGCCCCCCCCCCTTGTATCCGCGCCTGCCGCTAGCGACCGGTTAGAAGGGTGCTTTGCACAAGCCCGTTGGAAGTACCCTCTCGCCCTTCCGCACGTGCAGGGCTCACTATCTCACTCGCTCGTTCTTCGCCCAAAAGGCGTTTTACTGGTTCGTAAAAAATAGAAGTGGGTGTTCATAGTCCGTCCAACCCCTCCCCCTGTGAGGGCTATGGTGTAAACGTTTAAATTATTCGTTCATAAGACCTCGACTCAATCAATTTGAAATGCTTCCTGGCAAAACTACCACCGATCGGGAAGCTAGTTGATGCTCCTGGCAACAGGCCGTTAGCGATCCGGTGTTATGGTAGCGCGTTTCGCCACGGCCAGCAGTCACCGTTTCATCAGAGCGTGCGGGCGGCGCCGGGCGGCTAATGCGTGCGACCGGGACTGGTAGTGTGACCGGCGACCGCGGGGTCAGCAAAAACCAGCCGCTCCGTCCGCGTACGTTCTTGTGGCGTTGATTAATAGTTGTCCGGTTTCGTTATCTGCCGGCCCTGCTGCCCTCCAGACAGACCATTGACACATGGCGCGACAATCAAGGTCACCAGTCAGCTGGTAATGAGTGACATCGGTGCCGACCTGGTAAACAGAGACAGGTAATGACTACCCATGCATTGTTGTATAATATGTGTATCAAAAAACTGCTTTGGCCACCTCCATCCATAAGGGTGATTTTGGAGAAACGGCAGATGGAGAGCTGATCGTTCAACATACCCGTATCATCGTATGCTAACATAGCCCACCATAGCCCACCTGTTTTACCCCATTGGTGGCCGTAAGCGGGGATAAATGGGACTACAGAGACTCATAGAGATCCGATTTTTAGCACGAAGCCGATGACGATGCGTGAAAAAGAAAATTAGCTCGCAACTGTAACAGGGTGTTGGTCGGACTGTATGTTCTCCGAAGGTTGTCCTCTCCTCTCCCGTCGGACAGGGTTCAGTCGGACGGCCTCCGTCCGAGGACCGCCCTCCCTGTGGTCCCCACGCCGGCAGGCAGGGCTCCTGCCGGCCATCAGTTGCGTGTCGCTGCCCCACCGGGCCCGGGTAACGACAGGTGACGCGGCCATCGGGCCAGTCCTGACCGACCCTCCTGCCAATTGAACAATAAACCCCGCTGCCAGCGCTCAACAGTGGCAATCTGTTAATTTCCAACGACCGATTCGACATACACCTGTCAAGCAAATTACAGTGGCCCGGCGGCGGCCAGCGGGAGATGCAGCTTGACATGAAACATCGCCTGACCGGGCCGATCCTGGGCGACCTGACGGGCCGGGGGCGCCGGCAGTGATGACCAGGTTAGTGTCGACACATTGAACCAGCCACTATGGCCGCCACTTCAGCCCCGAACACTGCTCGCGAACAGCTGGTTCTACGACCAGTACAACGACCCCGTTTCCGTGGACATGTGAACAATTCGCGATGCGGACGACTATTATTTTGTTGAAGGGGGGGGGGGAGGGGAGGGGAGATAAGTTTTCGGTATCTACTGGTGACAAGAAAGGAAATAAAAATACGTATCATTCAATTATTTGCTCCTTACGTCATATGGTACACGCAAGCGCCATCAGCAAGTTCAACTCCCTAGAGACACACAAATCAGTGCGAACATGGGTTTATTACATGGAAAGACATGCATCGTCCTGTATCGGGTACAAAATACAGTCCTGAAACTAGCACCAACAAATCAGATGCCCTTAAAATACAGCTCAGTTGCGACCAAATGGCTAAACACGCCTGGTAGCGACCAAACGTCTTTAAAAGTACACATCTCATAGCAATTCAGCAAGTGGAGGAGTCAGCATAAGGATGAAAATCATAAATGAGTGAGCCGAAAAAGTAAAGTAGGTAACTAAGGACAAGAGCAATGCGACGGAAGACCTGCAGAAGTATTATGAAAAAGTCAGCTGTTTTGTATCTTTTACATGTTGAGCGACATTAAGCGATGTAAAATAAAACGGAGAAGCTTTTCGTGTACGTGAGGTCGAAGCTAGGAATCAAACAAAGCAGGTATGACGGAAAGGCCTGCAATGTTGTTGTAGTTGTCATGGTAACGATTGAGTGACGGGAGGATAGAGAGGAGCGAGGGAACGGGCAAATTACGGGGACAGTCCGATAAAATTGGTCCCACAGGACACGCTAAAACTAGCAATGGACTATACGCATATCGCAAGCGGCATATGTCTGGGATAAATATGATAAATATGGCGAACAATTACCGGATACATGCGCACAAAATGATACAGATCAATGTTACAATGCTAAATGTACGTGTCTACATAAGATATCAATGAACATGCATTTTGATGAGCAAATCTAGTCTTTTGTGTAGATATTAGTAGGAACAGCGATAAATATAAATCTGCGTCCATCGTCTGCGCTGATGACTTTACATTGGACCCTGGATTGAGCTGTGAATAATGGCAACTGAGATTTGTAATACTGAATATAGCTACACTAAAACACACGGTACAAGCTCGCGCGGTTAGAGAGACAAATATACTCGTATCATGAAGTATGAACACGCTGGTGTGTAGCTCAGTAGGTCGGTATGGTACGCTGCAATCTAAAGGATATCTACTGACGGTCAAATAAGTGGCATTGGAAAAAGCGTGGAAAAGACCCGACACTTATGCCTACCCGATATGTCCTACATCCCTGACCTGAGGACCGGCCAAAGGAGATACAAGTGCCAGTCTCAGCAGGCCCCAGTAGCAGCGATGGTGACCGAAGTTTCCAGACACGTCATGTTGGATTCAGTACACGGCGCGACACGGCGACTTCCGTAAAGCTACGGTTGGGAAGTTTCGATAGGAACTTACAGCGCATTACATCGGCTAAGCAAACCGTACGCACGCTCATCGCTAACTACTGTCCAGCTATATCATACACGTCTGCTGTCGCCCTAGCCAGTCGCTGCACCCGCTTTGACCACTAGACCAGCACATTACCGCAGAGTCCGACAGCAGACGGCGGCTGGGAAAGACGGCGGACGCTGGCCCGCTTTGGTAACAGCCTGGTAAGGCACAGTGCACCGCGGCTGTGAGATGGCAGTCATTCACCTCATCATGTGCCCAGTCACTCTGTGCGCTACGGCCGCACTCGGCACACCGTCATCGGATGCAAAACAGGCGTCAACACACCATAGATGCGTCATCCGGTCACAGCAGAACCTCAAGTGTGAATGCAGGAGAGCCCACCAGCAGGTGAGATGGACGCTACACTGCTCTGGTCTCGCCCTTCCAGCCAGCGGCAGCGCTCAAATCTCTGGGCCTCTCTGACATCCACAATCACCACTTCTCTCGTCATCTCAGACTCTAATCACTCTCTCTTCTCTCGGATATCTTCTCTACACGCCGCTACCTCAGCTTCTCTCGGCCACTACACTCACGAGTGTCCTCTCAGCCGCGTACCAACCTTTTCGCTCGTCCTCCCATCCACTTCTCCCCTCTCTTCTCTATGCCTCGCGACACTCGCGCCGTTAGCCACATACCTTCTCCCGGCCCCACGGTGGTGGTCTGCTACGGTCTCCGGTCTCAGACCACTATTGGCTCTCTCTCAGTACCGTCTCCGGCGGCCGCTGGTGACCGCCGGTGGAAGGTGGGTTCCGGGGGCGGCGCGGGGCCCGCCTCCCCCTCCCTCTCCCTCCTCAGCTCGGCGCGGGCCTCCAGGCGGCGCGCCACGGTGTGCCGGCAGACGCCCCGCAGCGGCAGCAGGGCGGCCACGGCCGGCGGCGGCGGCGGCCGCCATACGGGCACACGGTGCACGCTGCGCCGCCAGATAGGGCCGCCGGCGCGGTACCGGGCCAGGTCCTTACGGGTCACAATACCGATCACCTGGGAGGGTGGAGGAGAGTCATCACCTGAACAGGCACATGAGGACAATCGCGGTACCGGGCTAGGTTCTTACGGGTCACAAAACCGATCACCTGCGCGGGGGAGGGGAGCCATCACCTGAACAGGGATAGTCGGGACAGGCAACTACAACGGCGACCTACTTCGTTGCAATTGTAGGCAGAAAAAAACATCATAATCCACAACACTGGAGTCTGAGCCATTCGCTTGAGCTAACAAATGAACGGGATGCTTTAATTGAAAACAATCACTCGAGGCTAACTTTTGCCACTGCAGCACTTGTAAAGTTTTAACATCAAACTCTGTCGGGCAGCAGGAATTGCTCAGGGTGCGAATGCCCATCCGAGTCCATCTGTAGAGGGGCCGAAAGGTACATCGTAAAGTTGTCTGAACGAGCATTTCAGAGTCCATTCAGAGCCCACTTAAAAGTTGATGCACTGCATCACCTCGATATAATCACGGATCGAAAAGCCTGCCATCCTGTTGAGCAGTGGTTCGGACGAAAATCGTGTGGGGTTGAAGGGTTGATAATTTCCTGATAGGTTTTGAATTATTCTAGTTGTAGTGCCAAATACCCAGTTTCAGTGGTAAATACCTAATCGGAGTGACAAGTCAACTGGTTGTATTGGTAAATCACCTGGTTGTAGTGGTTGACGACCGGCACGTGCCGCAGCAGCAGCGCCCTGAAGACGGCGTAGACGCGCGGCAGGTTGGCCGACTCCATGATGACCATACAGCCGGGGTTCATGTAGGGCAGCAGGCTCATCCTCATGTGCCGCTCGCCCTCCGACAGGTGCACCTCCTGGGCACAGAGGGGGTCGTCAGTGGAACATTTATCACACCAACTGACGTCCAGTGAAATGGAGACCAGTAACGATTACAAAACTCAGCCTGAGTAAAGGACCTTGTTTGACGGGTAGCACGGGAATTCGTCGTGAGTTTGTGAGTCGGGTCCGTAACAAGCTCTGCACTACTACCTTGTGTGACGGGTAACCGTCGTTGTGAGTTTGTAAGCCGGGACTTCGTACCACGCTCTACGCTCTCACCTTCTGTGACGGGTAGCCGTCGTTGTGAGTTTGTAAGCCGGGACTTCGTACCCTGTTCTACACTCTCACCTTGTGTGACGGGTAGCGCGGATAGTCGTCGTTGTACAGCACCGTCTTGCCGTCGTACACCTTATACTTGAGCAGCTCGACGAGCTGGGAGCGCAGCAGGAGGCCGCGGTAGCGCCCGTAGTGCGGCAGCGGGCCGCGGCCGGCCGTCTCCGCCGCCCGGGCCGGCGACACTCGCGCCTCGTCGTCCGAACAGTCCGACTGGCACGGCTCCACCGGAGGACGGACGGCCACAGACGGCTTCTGCTGGGAGGAGGGAGAGAAGGGTTAGGAAAGCGCAGCCGCCGATCTCTGACAGGAGGGAGGGGGGCGTCAGGGACGGAGAGCCACCGGCCTCAGCTGGTGGAGGGGATCAGCTGTAATGGAAAGATAGGGTACAGCTATTACAGCCCGCCCAAATCTATATCAATCCTTCACATCAAGACTGCCACACCAACCACCAGCCTGTTGTGCGTTAGGATCGCCAAACCCACCCAACACACTGCCTCCGATCCCCCCTCCCCTTGCTGACTCACGCCCGGTTTCGGCGGGTCGACCACCGGGAAGCCGTTGTGAGTGCAGCTGTCGAGCAGGTCGTACACGTCACCGGCAGTCATCTGCGGGTGCACCACGCGCACCGGCGCAGACATCACCTGGAAGCGGAACACACCAAGGCGTCATGACACGTTATAAGGGGCAGACGTGGTGGGGTGGGGATGCGGTTAGGAGGTGGACAGGGGCTATCACTACCAGCCCGCAGCTGCGGTGTCATCACAGAATAGCACATGTGGACCGGTACTAAACATATTCAGCAGCAGAGACCGCGGTGAGCGGCCGTAGATATTTAATTTTTGTTACGTAATTATTAAATAAAATTAAGCCCAAAAAACGTTTATTTGAAAGATATTTTACCGATGTTACCAATGAACCTGTAACACAGGTACCCTGACTTCAAAGCTTTCTACATATAGCCCCAGATCAAACACAGCTCAAACTGTCATACCCAGTACGGCAGAGCTCCCTTTGCTTACCTTTGTGATGGAGACGTGTTCACTTTGGGGCGGCGGACGCCAGCTGAGCAGAGGAATGCCGTCCAGCTCTATGTGTGCGTCGTACAAACTCTGTAAAAACACCAAACCGCACGCGGGTCCATCAGAGCCGCCGCGTGGGCAATCTAGAAAACACGTGGCACGTAGGTATAGATACGAGGGCTAAACCAGGCACACGGTGCCAGCCGGGTTGTAATTATTACGGATAGTAATTGACAGCTGGTCAAACAGTGGGAGACAGCTCAACAAACACGGTTGCCAGCACTGCACTGTTACGATACCCCGGCCGGTGTCCCGCCGGCCGCGGTGCCTACCTCGTTGAAACAGTCAGCCACGTATTTGGAGATGATGAAGACGAACATGAGCAGCGGCCCGAAGCTGATGACGCCAGCCGCCTCGACGATGATAAAGGTGAGAGAGATGGCCATCCGGACCACGCCGCCGAGCATGGCGGCCGCGCCGAACAGCGCGAACTTGCCCGGGTCCACCCAGTCCTGGGGATACACAGAGGTTAGACAGACATGGCGGCGGCGCCAAACAGCGCGAACTTGCCCGGGTCCACCCAGTCCTGGGGATACACAGAGGTTAGACAGACATGGCGGCGGCGCCAAACAGCGCGAACTTGTCCGGGTCCAGCTAGTTCTAACGAGAAACACAGGGGTCAGACAGCGCTAACTTGCCCGGGTCCACACCCGATCCCGGCGGCCGTCAGAATTAGGTAAAAAGTGAAGAACAGACGCGGCCGCCTTTACAAAGGTCAAATGGCGCAAGCGCAAACGGACGGTTCGTCAAATCACCTGTTCAGGCAGGCACGCTATGGCACCTGTCCTCCAGCACCTCTACCCTTCGCGGAGACATACAGCTATGGACTTTTCACCATATCACCCTCACCTGTTCAGGTAGGTACGCGATGAGCAGGACGGCGAAGAAGCGTCCGAAGGCGGCGCCGGTGACCAGCGAAGGTATGAACACACCACTGGGAACTGGCAGGGCGTACGTCCACAGTGTCATCACGTAGTAGTAGACGGCCAGCATGCCGACCGGCACCAGCGGGAACGTCCCTGAGGTCAAAGTAACGGGAACGGAGAGGGAATGAGTGCCCGGAAAGAGACAGTCGTATTCCGTGAGGCATTCTTTAATTTAGCACGGCAGCGCCCCCGCTGAAGTCTACCCATCTTAAAAGAAACTGTATCAAAGAGATTACCACCGTAAGCCAGTTTTCCGTTTAATGGGCGTAAGGTCGGAGACCACAGTTGACAGTTGACACCATTATTGGGTGACGACGATGTCGCCCCGGACGCCATCTCACCAGACTCGGCGTGTAGCAGGGAGCGAAGACCGGCCTCTGGGGTTTGGAGCAGCATGTCCGTCATAGCCAGCACGTCAGGAGTCATCTTACACTGGGGATCAGAAAAAGGAGTGATTACCTCACACTGCGGTCTTTATCTTTAGCTGAAGGCTGGTCAGTAGAGACTGAGAGTCACTTTACATTGGGGGGTTAACAAACACGGGGAGCTCATCTCACACGTCTGAGAGTCATTAAATACGCGGGATCATCTCGCATTCGCGTCACATACGCATGAGTAATTTTCACAGATGACATCAGCAGCTAGCCCATGTAATGCAGTGCGAACACAAATGGGTCCCATTACACCGGAAGTGTTGAGACAGAGGTTGGCGTCAACTGTTAGTACACCAGAGGCGGGCACCCAGCGGTCACGGTAGCCCCTCCCCGGCTGGTTCGGCAGAGCCCGGCAGTAAATCTCGGCCCTCGGTCCGGCGGGTTCCGGTTGTCATGCGGACGCTATCTCGGCGGCTCACGGACGGGCCGTTTGTTGTGTTTGACGGCGACATGTGGAATCGGTGCAGAGCAGACAGCAGCTCCGCCGACCGATCACATGGGCTCAGTCAGAGGCAGGCGGCGGGGCTGAACCGTGAATTGTTTGACGGACGGACGAGGCCCGGCAGTAAAGGAACAAGAGAAATAATAATGGCTGAGTATTAACAATTTATGATCTTATCTTGCATATGAGGGTGTTACTGCTCACCCTGCGTATGTTATAGGTGTTTATGCTACTGCCGTACATACAGTACGGGTTGTTTTTCTCACCCTGCGTATGTAGGTGTTGATGCTGCTGCCGTACATACAGTCCCCTGTTCTCTCATCCTGCGTATGTTGATGCTCACCCTGCGTATGTAGGTGTTGATGCTGCTGCCGTACATGTTGGCGTCGCCTGACACCATGATGATATGCAGTGCCATCAGCACCATAGCTGCCGATACGAGCAGCACCTCGGAGCAGCGCAGCGGCCAGGACGTCAGGTACCTAAGGTCAGGAACACCGCGGGGCAACGTCACAGGACTGCCATAGGAGGGAGACACAGCACACATCTGAGCAGCGCAACGGCCAGGTCAGGTACGTGAGGTCGGCAGAAAAAGGCAGCGATACACAACAGCCACAGGACGCAGCAGCAACACGGTAGGATACTGATTGTCACGATAGGACAGTGCAGAGGCAATTCCACTAACAAGGCAAGTCACAAATCGACCGCGGCTACTCTATTCCCTATCCTTCTTCTCTCTTTTCTCACCTGCGTCTCATCAGGCTGATGCGCACGTTGAGCGCCACGAAGAGCGCTCCGAGCAGGCCGAGGAAGGCGGCCAGCAGCCCGTACGCCAGCCCCTCGTAGCCCAAAGAGGTGACGCGCGCCTGGCCGAACGAGCCGAAATCCAGCAGGCCCGTGAACAGCAGGTGACCTGGCGGACGGCGCCGTAGGTCAGATCGGGACCGCGGAGGACAGGTCAAAACGAGGGTGGCTAAAATGTGACTGGTTCAAAGGTGTGCTCCAGTACAAAGCATCGACTGCTTGGGCCGTGGTAACACCCATCTGTACAATACACAGAGAAACAAATTAAAACAATAACAAATATTCAACAGTCCATCATAAACTAGTCCTCTGTCCATCGGTTAAAACTGTAAAAACAAGATGCTTTAAAAAAAAAGTTGCTCAACGTGTGCCTGTATTCCCCATGATACCGAGCCAATAACGCCACGCCGATCAGCTGCCTGATCATCTCCAGTTCATCTTACACCCACCCCTGTGTTCTGACCCGTCCCACCGTACCTGGCTGGCCGTAAATGTAGGTCAGCGCCTCCTTGAGCACCATGAAGGCCAGGAACGAGGTGAATAGGAACCGCCAGAGCAGGTCCTGGTGCAGAGAGCTGGCGCCCTCCTCGATCGCGAACATGACGCCGCCTGGCGGACAAACGGGGAACTGACGGTGAGCCGGCGGCGGCTGCCGAGCTGTGCGATGTGCTGTCAAAGGCAGACTGCAACGGACGTTGCATAAGCTAACTGCATGACAGGTGAAAAATTTAACACCCACATAAAGTTATCTGTCTCACGGAGAACGAATCACAAAATATGTTATGCTTATCAACACTCAGCCGGCGGCAGGTCAGATGCTGAAAAACAGCCTGTTAATCAGAAGTCACACATCCAGCAGCCCTTATGTCCGATACCTCTCCCCACCAACCATCCCAGAACCCCGATTAGTTCCCTCTCGCTCTCTGGATCTCACCTCCCGGGGAGCCGAATGCGGCGCACACTCCCGCCGCGGTGCCGCACGCCACAAAGTCACGCTTCTCATGGTCCTCTCGGAAATTCCTGACGGGACACGGGCGGAGCGGGTCGGGTCAGCGAGATGGGAGAGGCTGAGCTGAGTGAAGGTGGGGCTGAGCTGGCGGCGGCTAGCCGCGCATTGACCTTTTCGAAAGGGTAAGAAAACAAACATTTTCTGGCATTGCATGCGCCGGGTACAAGTCAACGCAGAAGACACAGAAAGACGGTAGGATTTAGTAACCATCACAAACTGGAGGCCAGCTCCAAACAGGTAAATGAGCTTCATTTGGTAGACGAGTGTATGTATGGTCAATCAGCACTTACTTGAAGAACGGCGATGTGAATTTGAGCGAGGACGACTTTCCCTGAGAGAAGCCGGCAGCGATGACGGCGCCAGAGTGGATCATAGGCCCTTCCTGCAGACGGTGCATCACAAATTAGCGAACGAAATGCGCAGGGATTGAGCCGGATTCATGTGTGATACAAAACACAATATTAACACCTCGCACAGCATACGCAAGCAGCCCCTACGTGACATGGACTTGGCAAAACTCCCCCCAGTCGCACCTTTCCGACCGGCAGTCCGGCCATCACGGAGGCGTAGACGCCGATCAGCTTGGCCACGAGCGTGCGCAGCCGGACACAGCGCGGTATCTTGACGCCGTTCAGGTAGCACTTGACTTGCGGAATGCCGCTGCCGATCGACACCGGCTGGCGGCGACAGCGGCAGAGGGAGGTGGATTAGCTCAGAGGTGATGTAAGCACGGAGCGTCAGACAAGTCAGGTGGTTCTATCGACGAACGGCTTGATGCTGCGTAACAAAGACAACGGCCTGCTGCAGACACGTAGGGCGTTATACGACCATTCAAGAACATTACTTCATTCTGGCAGCATGTAATCAAACGTCACTCTAGTGATGCTTCACTCATTCACTTCTTATCAGAGACAGGTTCTGGCGAACTCTTTCCACACATCAGAGACCACTATTCATCTTCCCTCCGCGACAGGAAACACCCACTCCCACCCACCACCCAGCATTGGTGAATAGATACCCCATGCGACGTCGCGCACGGCCACCTACCTCGATGTAGACCATAAGGAAGGCGATGACGGCAAAGGCGAGGTTGAACGCCAGCCAAATGATGAAAGGGACGGCCAGACAGCGCCAGCCAGTGCAGTCCAGCATGTCTGTGACGGACGCCGTCAAGGAAACCAAACGCTATCATGGAAGAGGCCCGCAGCAAGAGACATGAGGGGGATGATCACAGCAACTACCGACGGCTCGACCTGAGGGAGGTCACGATGAGTCGCTTCCACTCTGAGCACATGGTGTAGCTATAGCGTTTAGAATTTGTCGGAAGCTACGTCTGGCGCCACCTAGCTTAGAATTGGCAAAGTATGTGATGCCGCTCTGCTTCGGTGCGATTGGGAACTATGCTTAAATGCTCAAGAACACTTCTGCGGAGATAAAACCCCAACCTTGACCTCCCCAACTTATAAAGCCAGTACTTATTAAACAAGCTTCAAAAACCCGTAATCCGAACGCAAATTACCAACGACGGTTCCCCGTCTCCCAGCTCCTTTGTTCCATCCATGTCCTGCCATCGGACCCTCCACCCAGACAGTCATAAGAGGATACAGCTCCGGATGACTCCGAACTTGCCCTCCGCGGTGTGGTCGATCGCCAAGCTGAGCGCCACCGCACAGAAGGAGGTCAGAACACCTGGCGGAGCGGACGGTAGTGTCAGACAGACAGGACCTTCACACGGACAGGGGCGCAAAGGTAAACGGGTGTCTGGTAGACGATCACGGCAGTCACAGGAGGGATGTGGTAATGGCCTTCAGTCAAAACGTAATTCGTTCGAAATGCCCGCAGATAACAGACCTAACGTCAAATCACAATGTAAGCTGCCTTGATAGAGCAGTGCTATCAGAATGAAAGATGGCTCGGGGCAAAAGACGAGACATTCTGCGTTGACCGATTCACCTACAGGTCAACGCTCAGCCTCCCTTCCCTTCTCCCTGACGCACCGATGATGGCGCAGGCCAGCGTGCGGCTGAACCAGGTGGAGACGGTGCCGTAAGACGAGACGATCAGCTGATGGCGGATGTTCATATCACTGTGTACCACCTCGTAATCCAGGCTCTGAGGGAGGGGATGGAGGGGTCAACGGGCGTCAGACCCTCCAGGCTCTGAGGGGAGGGGAGGTCGAGAGGGGAGCGCGCGCAGAACCCGCCGTGTTTGCGAACTTTGTCACCAGTTCCCACTGCGTCATTCGGCGTGAGTCAGGTTCAGACGCGAGCGGAGGAAATCACTCGCGTGAGTCATTGTATACTTTTCGATATTCATTCGTCACACCTGACCTTACAGATAGATAAAACCGGCCCAACATAAAGCCAACAGTGATCTAAAGCAACAAGGGAAAATGTGACTACATTTTCAAATTAAGCTACAGCAGAGTCAGCGGGCCCCCAGAGGACACCAAACATTGAGTTTTGCAGCACGCCAGTCAAGTACGCTCATTCCGCTGCGCATTTGGAGTAAACACACTGGAAGGGTCGGACGACACTTTCTCTTTGAAACGGCCGGCGAAGTATCAACACTGTCACATCTCTGGAATGCACAGATAACCAGCGCGCCCCTGGACTCCAGAGACCAATGACCGATAGCACAGCGAGCCCAAAACAACGCAGTATGAATGGGTTTCGACAATCAGCTAACGCTCACTTCGACAACACACAGAGCGACAAAGAACGACAGTCGACACGATAAATGGCGTCATTCAGTGAATGAAACACATTCCCATATTAATGACGGTGAATGAAAACGGATGAATTGCATCGTTTGAGCGTGTAACCCGCAGCTTGAGCCCCGGTTGACTGACCTCATACTCTGCATTGATGTAGTGTCCGGCTTTGAGCTGCTTCTCGTGGATGATGGGGTCGGGCCGACGCACGGAGCTGCTGCGCGGACGGCACCCCTTTCCCGCCGGCTCCTCGTCCTCCGGCTCATAGTTGACCGATACGGCCACGTCCTGCTGAGAAAAAAATCGGGAGAGTCAGGACAGCGGGCCGAGCACAGCGCGAGACAAAATCAACTTGTTAAAGACAGAACCCGGCAAAACATACTTCAGGGTTACTATAACCCACAGCATACTCAACATAGGTTTAGTCCGAGTGACATAGATATGGTTGCTGACACACTCGGTAATTTTGCTTTTCATATTTCATCATATCGATTATCCGACGGACACCGGAAGGTAACAAGTCATATCACGAGCACCGTCAGTCAGTTTTCCCGTGTGGTTGCGGTGCGGCCGGGGCGCGGGGGTGGTTTGGAGTCTGGTCAGCGGCGCCGACCACCGTGGCCGCTCACTGCTCTGACCGCCGGTTACGACACACACGAGCACGCCCGCGATACACAAAGGGAGGGATGCTGGGACGGAGCAGCGGACAGCACACTTTCAAGTGTACCGAGTCAGACCGGATGTGCGCGTAAATTTACAGACAGAATCACAGAAGCCGACTTCGATGATAACTCGGACTAAGGGATGTTATAACAGACATGACACGATGAAGGGTCATCGATCGACCTCCAGTACAGCGGCTCGTACACACGTACACACTACACACGAACGAACGTACACACAGTACACACCCACAGCAAACGTGACACATCCACCCAGTACTTTACGTGACTGACACCTCACAGTCTGCAGTCACGGACCAGAGACGAGCCACCACGTGACTGAAACTTCCCAGTCTGCAGCTGTCACGAACAAGGGACACTCCACCCTATGGAACCTCAGCAGTCAGCGCTGACGTTTTCTGACACTTCTCCGGCTCATTTTCACCCCACAGACTGTGTCCGCATCCGACGTCCACCCTGGCCCTGCGGTGGCGCCCTTACCACGAGGGCTGCTGAGGCGGCGGCGCCGGGCGGCTCATCGGCCACCACCTGCGAGGCGTCATCGAGCGGCTCGTACCGCCGAGACCGGTTCATCCTCGGTGGCGAGTAGGTAGTGCTGAAACAAACACAGATGGTCAGCCGGAGCCCCGCCGAGGCAGGTGGAGGTGGTACTTTGTGTGGTTGAAACATGGACACACTGGCAGCGAAAGATCCAAACACTGAGATATAAAAAATGAAGTATATTCTGGCTAAGCTGGGCATAAAGTCTTCCCTTCACCATAGGCTTAACACACAAATGAGCAAACATTTGAGCCAGGATATCCGAGTTTGAAAATACAAAAAAATTATAAAATTTTGGCATAACTATATTCAGTGTTTCATTGTGTATCTCAAAAGGCCAATCATTTGGCCTCAAAGAAGTTATAAAGTGTCCAAAATTGATGTTGAAAAAGGTGCTGTCTGAACAAAGAATCTGGTAGCATCACATGACTTGATTAGAGCAGTTTATATATAAGTTAGGATACAATTACACAAATACTGCTTCAAACAGCACTCATAATACATTTAAATATTCTAATACTTTTTGTTAGGTCCTCAAAAGATTACAAAACACAAAATTTATCATAATATTTATGCGATATGAGCATTGAGCATTGAGGAATGTCATGGATACATCAGATTTGTGACCATGGGGCATACAGTTCAGATCTTTACTCAAAACATCAGATCTATTTGATCTTGATTGCTGGTATTTTGGCTGCTGGTGTATATGATCAAAATCTATACAATCTGTCATTGTATGTACCATTAAACTATAGGGAAAATCATGTTTGTCACAACATTCTTGTTCCCGGCTTGGCAGCACACCCTTGTGGTTTCTCTGCTAGGGTTCCTTCCTCCCTTAATATTCACATATCATATGCCAATCCCCTGTACCTACTCTGGAAGGCAGGGAACGGACGACGGTGAAAACAGGGCGCCTGGGGCGATTTGATCAAGGTTTGTGAAATTCACATGTGACATTTAGCATCTAGAAGGCCCACGAAGGGAGGAGAAGCTCCAAATGTCGCATGACTAAAATGCCCTCCGGCGCCCTGTTTTCACCGGCGTCCCAGGGAACCCCCATACAGTTGACTTGAACACTATACTCTGTTCCGTTTCAAGTTTGCAGCCGAAGTGTTCTACTTGGAGTACCAACTACCAGCTAGCTACTGCCTACTCATTTTTTGTTATTTTTTTCAAAATCCATAGTATTGACATATCTGTGATAGCAGTCCCAAGCTTAATCTCAGGCAGCTTTTGCCAAATTGTCAGGGAACTCAGATTTGTTTTTCAATAGAAAAAAACAAAATTCTAACGAATAGTGTTTTACTATTGACAACAAACCTTTACCTTCGGGTATGAAAAATCATAAAAATGAAAAAAATGCTTCACAGTTCAAAACAATTTAAGTTTTATAATCACAACACGGCAGATGATTGAGGAACAGACCAAGATTGAGATGCATTACAGCTTCAATACCGTAAACCGGGGTGACTTTGTATCACTTTTGACCAGTTTGGTACAATATCTTGTATATCACTTGAGATTTCACTCTGGAAACTGTTTCATCATACCAATTGGACAATTCTCTATCTAACTGAGTACAATAAATGCCTTGAAATTTATCATAAATATTTTATTTTTTTACCAAAAAATTGATCATTCTCACCCAGACGTCGGGGTGACTATGATCACTACATTAAAATCACCTTATGTGTGCCATAGGAGCCCTCAGAAGGGGCTTGTGTGATAAAATTACATGTTTTGAATAAAATCAAAGGCTTTGCTTGACAAAAACTCACACATTTTACAGTAAAACTATGAATCATTGAGGTATTAAAATAAAGTTGCATGCTCTGGGTCTTAACTGACATTACAGAGCTATAAGCAGCAAAATTAGCTACTTTAACCTCTGACTTCAAGATTAAGTAACAGTCACAGATGTCCTAAGCCACAGGCTACCTGTTCTACATCACACTTTGTCTGCTGGTGGCTGTGGGACCACTTGCCACACTGTTCATGCCCCTCCCAGCTGATTGTCTTTTTCACTTCCCATTGACGCTCCAATTACCACTGTGATAGAGCAGCTCAATGCTCATCCTCCATCATCAGTATCTAAGCCTTTCCTTTCTCTTTCTTTATCTGGGTCTTTCTCATCTTTACCATTATTTTTGCTGGAGATGCTAGCGAATTTATACTTCATGCCAATGACAACAAAAAAACAAGCTGTGACATGAACATGATTATTCTAACTGGGACCCAAAGTGTCTGATATAATGCTTCATTGCTTTATTTAACTATTGGCATAGAAAATACAGTTCACAGCAGCTAATTGCTCATTTGAGGCCCAAAATTGGTCTATGATCAAAGTCACCCCGGGTATCATTGTCACCCCGGTTTACGGTAATGCTTTAGTCAATGATTTCTGAAAACATTATTATGTATGAAACAAAGAGCATTTGGAGTTTAATGTTTAGGTAAAAAAGTCGACACAAAGGGCATTACCAAAAAAAGAAGGGATTTAAACACACGCGGAAACTCAAACTGAGGCAAAACTGCAACGCTCTTGACTTTTGTCACATACCAATACCAACTTTGCACTGTCACACCCAGCACACTACTGATCTTCTGCAGTTAAAAAGCTAAAAGCTCTAAAAATATTGTTATATTTTCAGTATCACCTGAAGAATTCAATTACGGCCTTGAGTTTAAATAAAAAAAACAATGAAATACAGCAGCGCTCGCGCCACTCTTTTGCTCTGTCGTGTTTTGTTTTCGTTTTGATCAAGGTTGCACCATTCAAGGTTAACGAAAAAGAGGACCGCACTACTCAACCGCTACCGTCGCAGCTATTTCATAACTCAAGAACTACGAGGCTGATTGGAACAAAAATGCCACCGGTCAATTTGCCGAATGCAATTTCATGAACGGTTTTGAATATGGTGACCTGAGGTGACCTTGGTGACCTCAAAAGGTCAACTTGACGTTTTACGCATCTATTTGGGCTTGGAACTACTGGGCCGATCAAGACGAAAACACCATCAGTCCATCAGCCATCCGTATGCGATTTCATCTGCCGTTTCCAATATGGTGACATCAGGTGACCTCGGTGACTTCGAAAGGTCACAAGGTCACACAAAGGACTACTGGGCCGATCGAGACGTAAACACCAGGTCAGTCGATTCACCGCATACAATATTATCAGCCGTTTCGAACATGGTGACCTCAGTTGACCTCGGTGACCTTAAGAGGTCACACATTTTTTTCTCCAATGGCAACCATGATATACCTAGGTACCTAACTCTGGAGCTACTGGGCCAATCGAGACGAAAACACAATCAGTCGATTCGCCGTATGCGATTTCACCCGCCGTTTCCAGTTTGGTGACATTAAGTGACCTCGGTAGCCTCGAAAGGTCAACTTGACGTTTTTTGACTATTGCAGCCATTTTATATCTACCTCACTCAGGAACTAGGTACCTACTGTAGGCCGTTCGAGACGAAAACACCACCAGTCGATTTGCCCGCGCAAATAATTTTATCAGCCGTTTCGAATATGGTGACCTCAGGTGACCTCGGCGACCTTGAGAGGTCAACTTGACGTTTTACGCGCCTATTAGGGCTTTAACTGGTACCTATTGGTGGGCTTTTATTATATAACTCAGGAACTACTGGGCCGATCGAGACTAAACACCACCAGTTGATTCGCCGTATGCGTTTTCATTAGCCGAACATAGTGACGTTCAAGTGACCTCGGTGACCTTGGGAGGTCACATAACCGTTTTCGCCTATGGCGGCTATTCTATAACTCATTATGAATGATGAAATCGCATACGGCGAACCGACTGGTGGTATTTTCGTCTCGATCGGCTGAGTAGCTCCCGAGTTAGGTATAGAATGGCTGCATTAGGCGTAAACGTCATGTTGACCTTTCGAGGTCACCGAGGTCATCTGAGGTCAACATATTCGAATTGGCTGGTAAAATCGTATCCGCTGAATCGAATTTGTGGTGTTTCGCTGTTTCGAATGGAGTTTCGTTCGTTCCGATCGACCAATGGCTCCCGAGTTATGGAATTGCTGCAATGGTAGGTACTGCGGTCGAGTAGTGTTGTCCCGAAAAGATCGGTGGTCACTGAATGCGCGTATAGTTGCACCATAATCACACATAAACATTCAAATTCGTCCCAAAATCGATGACCTTCGTCGACAATCAGATTCATATTTGTTCCGAATATCGATGAGCCTGAAATCTGAATGCACCAATGTTCCACTCCTAAGGCTGCAGCAAAAAAAAAAAAAAATGTAGCGAGCAGAGAGCTGCCTGAGCGGACACAAGAAACGGCTCACTTTCAAGGCGGCTGCTGTGGCGGAAAGTCGGCACCCCATTAGCATGGCGGGCCGGTGTCTGGATACGTGCAGCGTCAGCGGTCGGCCGGCGCCGTGTCGCCGAGCATTAGCACATCAAAGGACCCTCGGAGCGCGCCGAGGGAAGACGAGGGAAGACAAGAAGGATGGGGAGGCGGTCGGCGCGGCGGTCAGCTGCGGCGAGAGCTGCACCCGGGACGGCGGGCTGAGAGGGCGGGCGGCGGGGCGGTCCGTCTGTACCGCCAGGGGTACTCGGTGGTCCACTGCTTATAGCGAATATTCATCGTATGACCTGTATACTGACTCATTGAAGCATAGTTTGTGACACTTCAGCTGTGTATTTCAGATATCGACAGGCGCTGTCAGCAGGGGCGGACGACTTCAGTCGGTTGGTCGGTTGGAACCGAAATCCATGCCACTCGAAAGACGTCTCCTCACACAGACCGGGCAGCATGTATTTGACTTCACTCGAGCATGCAGCGACGTTGTCAGAGAAGCCTGTCGGCCTATCAGCATGTACAACACGTATGGGATACATTCATAAATATGTACATAAGTCACAAGGACTGGAAGGGGCAGAACAGCCGCACTCAATAGTTGAATGGGAAACATTGTCGCTGCAAGCATGCTGATCACTCCCAGAAGGAGTCGATAGGCTGACCATTTAAGACAATTTACATATAGTTAGCTGCTGCTATATTCCCTTAATTTTATAGATCGAATCACATCGTCTTTATTTTTATTCTTATTTTGGGTTAATCTAATCCAAAATGAGACAATTTCTTGTGCGCTCGCGGGGAGGCTGCAGGACAAACTGTCGATACCAAGCGATGTAGAATGCCACAGATGTTTTGCCGGCGGACAGCGGAGCGCCATGCTGCGCCCGTCTGCGGACCAGTAGAGGACGCAGCCACCACAGCTTCCGCGGTCGGGTCGGCGGCCGGGTCCGGTCGGCGCCGCTCTGTGAGGAGGACTGGGCGGGCAGTGCTGGCGGCGGCCCCGGGACGGTCCCTCGGCTCGGCCCGCGGTCTCAGTTGAGCTCCTGCAGCGGCCCGAACAGGTAGACGGCGCCGATCGTCTCGTCTGGGTTGCCGATGAACTGGGCGTACAGCTCCTGGAACCGCTTCAGGTCGATGCCGCCCTTCTTCTTGTCCTCCGCCTGCCAAAAGACGAGAGGTTCGAGTCAGCTGCGAGTCAGGCGGGCGGGAGGCCCGAGTCAGAGCTGCGAGTCAGGTGGGTGGGAGTTTCGAGTCAGCTGCGAGTCAGGCGGGCGGGAGGCCCGAGTCAGAGCTGCGAGTCAGGCGGGCGGGAGGTTCGAGTCAGCTGCGAGTCAGGCGAGCGGCAGGTCCTATGTATGAAGTGAGTCAGTCAGGACTCAGGAGGGAGGCTCAAGTCAGAGGCGAGTCAGGCGAGGTGGCTGAGTCAGGCGGGAGGTCAAATTCAGGTGAGCCATGAGGCAGACGTCAGAGTTGTGACAGGCGGACGTCAGAGGGGTGACAGGCCGAGGCCCGTCCGGGGGCCCCGGTGAGGACCGCTATGAACATTCCGTCAGCACCTCACGCTCCAAAATAACCGAGATCGGGAACCGATAGTGATAATATTTATTTGGTCGATAAACTCAAGCTAATTTTGTGTACGGAACTGCTCTGTGTTTTCGCTCCCTGATCGAACACTGAAGCAATATGGCTGACCTACCCACCGTGGTTTTAATTCATCTGAATAGCAGCGCAAGGAATTAAACATCAAATTAGCTGCAAAAGCTGGAAAATTAGCTGTATCCCCCATTTTCAATCTCCTCTTCCAGACACTTCCGTTTCAAATTGCAGCTATGGGCCTATGAGACATCGCTACATGTCTGTCGCGGAAAGTTTATTCAACTATTATCTGTTTATTTGTTTATTTACCAATTGCCGACAGGAAATGAGCAGCTTATAAACAAAAACACCTTGGTCGGTTGCAAACCTTTCAGGGTTAAGGAAGGCATCGTGTGCCTATATAATGGCTAATTCACAGCAGCTCCAGAGAAGGAGCTAGGAAGAAATAATCTCGGCTCCTCCATATCTCATTACCAAAGGTGTCAGACTGAGCTGTGAGTCGCCTTTTAGGCTTCTTCTTGTTTCCGCCTGAGGTGGTTTTGTATTCAGCTGCTCCGCTCCAGAGGGCAGCGGCTGGGAATTAGATCGATGCCACTTCTCTCAATTTTCTGCCTTTAGCCGGTGCCACGATGCAGCAAGATTTAATTTCGCTTCCGTATAGATCGAAAAAAGGAAAATGGCACGTAATTAGCATTTAAGATGTTTCTTAGACAAATTATTGCTTTCTTTTGGTCAACACATAAGGATATTGTAGATAGTTTAAGCTCAAACGAAAGGTGCCTAGTACCTAATCATTGTCATCTAACATCTTTTCTAAGGGTAATTTGTTCCAATTGTATGTTTGCTTGTGAAAGAAACAAAACTGCAGAAAGATCATTTACGGAATGAGTTTTATTACGATACGTTATCAACGAATGCCAAGTCGACTTTATGATTTATACCGATGTCCTTTAGCTCGCAGTGTGGCTGCGCGGCGGCAGAACTGCGTTACCGAATAGCGAACGCACCGCTCAACAATCAAATCATCATCGAATCCACTTTCAGCCTCCCGACATCTCAGTGCCGACGTGAGAGCTTCTCCATAATTTCGCACCGTCATCCCGGGGCGATCCCCGTTTGGCCGTCGGCGGTCGACTGTTTTCACGCGGTCGGTGGTCGTGGGTCGACGGTCGACAGTCGACTGTTCTCACGCGGTCGGTGGTCGGTGGTCGGTGGTCGACGGTCGGCGGTCCCATGATGGTCGGCACTCGGTCGGCGGTCGACACCCATCTGGTGGTCGGTGGTCGACAGCAGCGACGGCCCGAGTAGCGGCCATTCTCCATGGCTCTTGACTGAATTAGTCTCGTTTCGCCGTCTGAATCCGGACGGGTCTGGACGGATGCGGAGATCAGACGGATCAGACTATCCGACTAGATCCAGACGTGTCTAGGTCTTTCCCGACTTACGCAGTAGAATTCGTGGGTACCGTATCCTATGTATATGCATGTGCTCTTACAGATGTCTCCGGGCTAAGTACGCTGAGATGGCCACTGGGTTCGAATTTTTCAGTCATATTCGAACTTTCTTTTAAGATTTGAGCTATTCGGCGTAATTAAAACTACGCCGCTGGAGCCGATTCCGTAAACTGGAGTGCACTGGCTGGTGGAGACGGAAGTATTCATTTTTCCAGTTGTGAAGTTATGTGCTAAAGAACCAGGCTGACGATGTGACTGTGTGATGCGAACAGAGTCGGACATTTTACCGCTCAAATAAAATAGGCTACTGAATTATTGAGGCCGAAAACGCCGGCATCGAGCTGTCTTTCCTGATATGCAAAAAGTATTCCAACACCGTCCGCCACGCCCTGCAGGGCGCTAGTTATCGAAAATAAGCACAATCTCAAACAGGCCTGCTCAATATACAGCCTATCTGTTTGCGATCCACTTAGGCTTAGTTCTGCTCAATCCAATCGTAAACTCGCGTTTCGTGCTGGAGATAATGTCTCCCTGCTAAATATTGCAGGGATAGTAGCTGTCGGTGCCATGAAATCGTTACAACAAGCCCTGAAAGGGAACTGTAATCCAAAGGTCAATCCTGCTTAGCACTATCGATAGCAGGAGGTAACGTGATTTATATTGGCACTAGAGCCCCTTAGCATCGAGATATTCCCCCAAAAGACGTATGTACTTACACTGGCGGCTCCCGTTGGGTCTCCAATGACTTTTTAATAGCCTCAACGTTCGTTTTTGCCTCGCGAAGAGGTGACCCCTAGGCCCTACACTCAGCTCATGAAGTGAGACCAGTGTCCACTTAATTGATAGCAAAATAGGGAAACCTACGCTTATGTAGCTTTCAAAAATGTGAAGAGGGGCCAATTTGCAAAATAACTTAGCTGATGCTGGGAGGGAGGAGTTGTTTTGGATTATATTTGCGTGAGGAAACCCCTATTATTTACTTTGCTCATGTATAGTTTAACGCTTCGAGGTCTGTAATACCACTATTGCTGTGAGGAATTTGCTAAAATTCGAAAATCAACGGACAAGATTTCCTGTAAGGTTACCGATGGACCTAGTAAATATCTTGAAACCGTCCAAACTCAATAAAACATTTGGTCATTAGCTTTTGAATGCCTATTGTCTCGTGAGTCTGGCTTTGACTATTTGGTATTGGTGAATTGAATGGTTGCTGTCAGAAATGGCGGAGTTACCATCATTATTTAGTGCCCCATTCCCCCCACGCCAGCGGCGAGATCCGAAAAAAACAGCAGCTGCGGGGTAAAAGAGTGCCAAAATGAATTTGCTAAATTAGATTGAATCTTTTACACACGTTAGGTACCTACCTTCGAAACTAACCTATTGCAATTGGTACAGAAGCAGGCTTACCTATCTATTTGTTGAGAAACACACCGTATGATAGGCATGCAGTTGGTGCGGTACCTATGCGTGAAATGGGTAATGGGTAAGTATGTGTATTGTGCAAGCCTTTGACTAAGGACAAACACTTGCCAAGGAGTGACCTGATAATTCTAGCACTTAACCCGCGCCCTGCTGGGGGTCCTGGATTTCCACGCCCTGCTGGGGGGGGGGTGTTTGAACACCCCCCTTCTAACTCGGCTCCTGGGCCACGTAGCGATACGCGGAAGGCGGCGTTCGAAAGGGCGTCAAAAATAATGAGGAAATCACTTCGGTCAACTTTTTGGTCAGGTCAAAGGTCAGGTCACCAGAGGTCATTGAAGGCAAAATTTCGCCGATTTCCAGGTCGAATGTCGAAAATTTCCAAGAAGCCAACGCATAACTCGGGAACCAATAGAGCTACAGCGCCGCGGAAAAGCGCATTCGATAGCCCTATTAACGCCCTTTCTGAGTAATTTTCTCAAATTTGACCTAACGTCAACGGTTTTGCCTGCAGGGGGCAAAAACTGCAAAAATAGCCGATTTTTTCGGAAACAGTTTTTCTGCAATAACTTTTGACCCAAGCCTTGTACGAGCTTACTTTTACCGGCATCGTGTTCCTCTCGTCAAGACGCATCGAATGAACTATAACTTGACCTTGAAAGGTCAACTTGAAAATTTGACCTCAGGTCAAGGTCATGACCTGACCGGGAAGGGTCATGTTGCATATCAGTCGATCCGTATCGTCGAGCTGAACACATCTATGGCGTTTTCATCGCTCTAGCATGCCTCTATCAAAAGTTATTTGCGAAAAACTGTTAGATACCATTCGTGACCTAAGATGACCTCAGGGCATAAACAGGGGTCACGGACACCATTTTCATGTTCAGTGTGTCTAAACCACTTGTAATTCAGCGTTTGGGAGTGTTTATAATGTCTTTCGTCCAAAAGAGGCGCATTTCAATTTTCTCCCATTGACTTATAATGGGGAGGTCGCAAAATTGACCTGACCTTAGGTCATCGATATCAAAATTCTGAGATATACATTTTGTACATGCTATTGCTCTTAGCAATCTCTGAAAGTTTCAAAGCGATCGCTCACTCGGTGTAGCTATGACAGACATTGAAACTTTTTATGAGGTGAGGTCACTTCAAGTGATCTGGTGACCTGACCTTGAATGACCTTGGTCTGAAATTTTCACAACATATGTAGAATTGATGTATGATAAGGTGTACCAAAAACGGCGGCGCTCCGCGCCGCCGTTTTTGAGATATTCGCGAAAAACCACAAGGGGGGGTGTTCAAACACCCCCCCCCAGCAGGGCGCGGGTTAAAGGGACACTCCCACCTTAACATTAGTTTTGAGTTGAGATAGCCAAATTGGTGGCCATGGCCTGCAAACACCGGTTTGGGCACTCACAACATCGAAAAATGCTTTAATTCGAAGATATGGAATTTCAAACTTGCAGTTTTCGGATTCTAAGGGGCTAATGCATTGGAATGCCCCCTTAGAATTTGTGACGTCAGCGGAGATCTAACGATTTTTAAATCTTAGACTAAAACCATCGTTAACACGTGGTGGTATACGCTGCTTTGCGCGCAACGTCTGCCGCACCTTAAGGCTGCCAAATTATTGCTTCCAAATAAAGTCGCTAGTAACAGGGGAGATCCCAAAAAGTAAACAAAAGTAAAAGCCTAATAGGGTGAATAGGTCAAAAACGCCCCCAGTAAGCGCGAAACCTTCTGACACTCAACCCAACACAGATTACTCAAACCTTTGGGCACCATCATGTAGCTCATTCTTTTTACTACGCTTTGAGACCAAAAAAAGACACCTGCGTGTGGTAGTTAACCCCCCAAAAAGGTTTTCGCATACCCTTACAAAAGGGCGTTTTGCCCCATACCCTGGGTAATACGCCCACACCCATGTGCAAAGCGCCCCCACCCCATCCATCAACAGAAAATGATAAACATGGCAAAACTTGACGTCATTCTGACGTCATTTGTGGTCAACCTATCATAGCCTTTGGAATAAAATTGTGTTGCAATGTGTAAAATGGATGCCCGGAGGAGCCCTGAAAGTTTGGTGACAATATCTGCAGTCGTTTAGGATATATCAGCAAAAAAGGACAGGGAGAGGCCTTTTCGGCACCCACCTACAGGGCGCTACCCTGCACTCTCACCACCGTGCAAAACGCCCCCCTTTCAGAAAACTGGGGGCGTCTTGCCCCATGCATCGAGTAGGCGTCTTTCCCCATCCACTCCATTTCCGGTCAACAAAATATTGACAAAAAACGCGCCACTAACGCCGCAGCATAATAAATTCACCAGAATGGCAATAAAACGCAGTTTTTAGTGATGTGCACAATAGCAAGTTTTGTGATATAAAGAGGGCATCAAAATCTTAGGAATCTTCTGTAAAAACAACAAAAATAACACCCAAAACCAACATCAGCACCTACCCACGCTGCTCCTCAAGACGCAGAACCGGAAATAGGGACCTACGTAAACAAGCAGCTGACTGTTCTGAAAGACAGGATAAAACACCTATCCGTCGATAAGAAATACGATTTTTTTAGGGGAGGCGTTTAACCCAGGGGTGCGTTTTCCCCACAGTTACCCTATCTTGAAAACCAGTGAATATTTTTCGGTGAAATTTGGTAGATATTCGTTTTCGCTCTTTCTGAACCAAGGGACATCACTTTCACGCCAATTCATTAACTTTTTTGAAGGTGGGAGGGTCCCTTTAATCGTCCTTGCTACGGCATCTACGGTACTCATCGCTAATACGATATCCACTTTCCCGACCCCAAACATATTGGATAGGACTGCCCACGGAGCCGTGCGTCGATTTTTGGGAGAAACACAACGTGGAAGGACAAACACTTTAGTAAGCAAAACATGCACCCTTAGAACGCAAACATTGACATTACTCCATTTGCCAGCTTTTTGCATGGACAAGCAATTGCAGCCCACGAAGCTGTACAGTTCGCTCCAGTTGTGTCGTTCTTTGTCAAACTGAAAATAACATTGACCATTGCGGCATGCAAACAGGTTCGTCCTGCCCCGGGCCGCTCTCGTAGCTCGGCCGCAACTGCACCGCTGAGCGCTCTTCCCACACACAGAAAAATATTGACACCGTTAGCGGTGTAATTGCACAGTACATATCTGAGCACTTGAGGAAAGTTAATTTAGTCCCTTTCCCGCTTAAATTACTCGCGCTTCTAAATGAACACCAGGACTGAAGGTAATAGAACACTGTTAGGAGGGTTGGGTGTTTTACTACATGTAGCAAAACACCCAACCCTCCTAACAGTGTTCTATTACCTTCTTCCTGGTGTTCATTTAGAAGCGCGAGTAATGTAAGCGGGGAAGGGACTAAATTAACTTTCCTCAAGTGCTCAGATATGTACTGTGCAGTTACACCGCTAACGGTGTTAATATTTTTCTGTGTGCAGAGGCCGCGGGCCGTGTCCAATAGTCGTTCACAGTCCAGAGGCTCTGAGTCGTCCAACTGACAGTCAGCGGCCGCCCGAGTCGGCGCCGACAGGCTGACAGCGGCAGATGTCAGGTGTCGCGGAGGCGTGCGTGCTCCTGTCACCTCCCACTGCTATATCTGACAGTGAAATAACGTCTCTGCTCGACCGTTCTAGCCGCTGACAACTGGAAGTCACAGAGCTGATAAGCTCAATTAGCCCGGCCAGCACGGCACGGACGCTGAAAGTGGAGACAGTCCTGCCCTCAGAGACCTCGAAAAGCCACTTTCCGCGGGGCCAAGTTAGGCGAAATTCCGGCAGCCTCCACCGAGCAATCATGAGGTCGGGTCGGGAAATGGTATAACCTCAGAAATAGCCGCGGCGGCTGTGTCATAGCGCTGGCATTGTCCTGTGTCCTTGTGTGCACCCCTGAGCCGGCCAAACGGCGGCGGTGCGCGGCGCTCCCGAATGCTCCGCGTGCCGGGTATGTTCCGCTGCCAGACCGGCGCCCAGATTGTTGGCAAAGTGTTGCCAGATTGTCCCAGGAGCGTTGCCAGACGCCGGCCGCGCTGTCCGGCCGGTCGGTCTGGTAAGCAGAGACCGCTGCCGGTGTCGACTCGCATTAGGGACAGTCACAGGCCGGGGACCGGTCGCAGTCGACCGGGAACAGAGCCGGCAATCGATGGTACCGGCCGCTGGCAGGGGCAGGGCGGGCGCCCGGAGTCACCAGGGGGGCCGCACTGGCCGCACTGACTCACAGGTTACCAGGGGGCGTCGCGCAGACTCACTGATTGGCCGCATTGACTCACGGCCACGGGCGCCCTTTAGTCGTACCCAAAATCGTCATTAGTGCCGATTAATGAACTCGATGAAGCTCTAAAAAGCAGAATTGGCTATCAACTCGCAATGCATTTTCGACGATGCTTCCTTTCAGATTTGCAGAGCTAGATCGTCATAAATTGCACAAGTTGATTGGGGAGCGTCTCTCTCGAAGACTCCGGCAAAGTAAGCAGCGGGAGTTTATTAATTGTGTCTCAGACCGTGTCACCGGCCCATCACTCGCAGCGTGTGCCCGACTGCGTCCGCCCGGTGAATTTCTGCCCAGAGAAGCCGAGATAATGAACCCGCCGCAAGTTGGCCGCCCCCGCCTGCTTGGGTCGCTCCGCGGCGGGCTGATGGGACTCGGTCGACAAGTGAATTGTAAGGGGTGGACACGCCGAGAGGTAGGTTGGACTGACGACCGATGCAGGCAGTGGACAGTGGTAAACGAAGGAAATACTATTTATATACACTGTGGGAAATACCAACGATTGCCAATAGCGCGGTAAGAAAACGTCACTGCAGACTAATAATTGGAATGGGAGATGGTGTGATGGTAAATGCCCAATCCAACTGATGCTGTTGACCAATAATGGTTCAATTAGAATAACAAACGTACTCTTATGACATACGATAATGTCATCGGCAGTATAATTGTTATAATACCCGCATTTCAATGTAAAAATAGGCTATGGAAAGATATACAGAGCGGCAGCAGGGCAACATCAATGCATGACATAAATATATCAGTATGGCGAGTGGGCGCTGAGTGGACAGACAGTGAGACCTACGCTAACATTGCTTTCAATGGGGGCCTTTGACATCTCTATATGACCCGAAGACGACCTGCCTGACTGACCGGCCTGAAAGACGGTGCATCAGCTAACCAATGACATTGGAGACCCTCCCGGAGAACGTAAATACCAAGAGTCCGCGGAGAAATGGGCCTCTGATTCAGTGTCCATTGCCTGCCTGGGATATCCGCTCAGCTCCGTCTGTAATTAGACGGCAAACGGCCTGACAAGTGGATGGAGCCCGGCCTGCAGTATTATCCATCGATTGGTGCTGGTCGTATGTATACTGATAGATATGCCCATTAAAGTGTCATGATATTATATGGCGATGATGATAATGATAAATGATGATTTTGATTATGATAATCATTATCTTAATTCATATATAAAATTATTTATATATAACACCAGTATAGCGCCTTTTGGGGCGACTAACGGAGCGAGCGAGGGGGTGAGTCTTGCACGTGCGAAATTTCGAGGGGGTACCTCCAACTGACTTGTGCACGGCACCCTACTGACCGGTTTCTAGCGATGTGCCAAATTTGAGCACAATCGGCCCAGCCGTTCTCGAGATCTGGGAGGGGCACCCTGCACGTGCGCACGTTCAAAATGGGTCCCAACTGACTTGTGCACGGCACCCTACTAACTGGTCCCTAACCGTGTACCAAATTTGAGCGCCATCGGTCCAGCCGTTCTCGAGATCTGGAAACGACCCCTGCACGTGCGCACGTGCAGCAGCACCCCAACTCTGGCACATGGATATGTAGTGCCTAGTGGGTGCCTACCTACATGCCAGCTTTCAGCGCAATCGGCCAAGTAGTTACCGAGATATTGCAACAATTACAAAACTGACACCTCTTCGTTTTGCACGTGGCACGTGCATAAGGGGTCACCTATATGCATCGGGAATAGTCCAATACTTGGTAGAAGGAATGAAGCTACCCTACAAAAATTACCGCGTGTAAATCGGTCAAGTGGTTGCTGAGATATAAGCCTCGCAAAAGCGTCCGCACGGCCGGCCGGCCGGCCGGCCGGCCGGCCGCTCATACTCAGAAATTTCCGTTAATCTAAGGAAAGACTTCGCTCGCTTCGCTCGCTCCGTAATTATTCTTATTACTATTATTAGTAGTGTAATTTTATGTTTCGTTGAGAAATGGTCTATTTCTGGGCTGACTTTTATTGCCCCTGTGTGCCGAGACTCACGCTGCAGAGTTTGTTGTAGGCGTCGTCGATCTCCTTGATGTCGCTGTAGGCCTGCCGACTACAACAGTCGACCCGGTACTCCTCGACACCCACCAGACCGTCACCTGCCAGGTCATCAGACTGTCAGAGACCGTCAGACCACCATACCGTCAGACCGTCAGACTGCCAAGTCATCAGACTGTCAGAGACTGTCAGAATACCAGACCACCAGACCATCAGACCGTCACCTGCCAGATTTTTAAACTGCAGAGTCCAAAGACTGTCAGACCGTCAGATCACCAGACCGTCGAGACTGTCAGACTGTCAGATCATCTGACCACTGTACCGACACCTAACAGACCGTCACCTGCAGGTCATCAGACTGTCAGAGACCGTCAGACCGTCAGACCTGTCAGCTCATCACACCGTCGCCTGTCAAACACTTAGGCCGTCCGCTGTCAGATCAGACCATCCAATTGTCAGCCCGATTGTCAGCCCGGCATACCATGAGACAGTCACCTTCTGTCAGACCGTCGCCTGCCATCACCCGGTTTCAGGTCATTGTTCGATCTTGACAGGTCATGTCAAATGGTAAATCCTGAAGACACAAAAGCCGAGGATAAGAGTATGTAAAAGGTAAAAAATATAAGTGCCAGACCACATAGTTACAGTGAAGCCAGTGAAGCTATTTGATACTGACAACTTGACAGGTGACTAGCCTGACATATGTCTTATATTTGATCCTATGCTTCAAAGCGTAACGCCCCCGCGATCTTCCAGATATGAACTGACTTCTGAGCGCGGAAAACCTTTGAACTTAACGGTCATGAGTCAAGACTAGGACTATAGTAATCTTGACTAGGACAAGCACGGGCTGTCAAACTAAAATAATCAAATGTTCCCGGAAAGTGGTTTGTCATATTGTTAGTGTTGGCGCGATTCAAACGTGATGAAACGATATTCAGACGTAGAGTCGGCATGCTAGGCATCCTCCACCCTTGAACAACATCAGGCGCCTGGAAATATGCTTCATAGCATGCTAAAAGTGAAATCGTCACACTCCTTTTTGAAATGTATTGAAGATAGTTTGCTCTGTTTCCAATGCAGCCTATTCTTCAATGATAACATTTTAAACACTTCCGAAGGACAAATGCCTATACCACCTGTATCCACCAATGTATTGAGTTGATACAAATGGGTGTATGACGTAATTACATGGAAGATAATAATGACAAATATGGCTAATCTGTAAGACCACTTTCACGACCATAAACCCTTTATCCCTTTCCTCTAAGCAATAAAAAGCAATATCACACCCGAACAAACACGATAATGTGGCGACCAGCTGCGAGTTGTGTGTAGGACAAACGGTAACCCGATCAATACACGATTACCGAGTATGCGGCAGGCCGCGTCAGTTCCGGCCGGGCCGAGCCCCCTGACCTCACGGGCGCGGCCGCGGCCCCCGAGCCGCGCCGGGCTGCTATCGCCCCCTCTGCAGCTCTCACCCGCCGCTGACCTCTGCCCGGTACCGCCGCCAGCCCCGCCCCCTGCGCAGAGCACTGGTCCACAGCCCGCACCGGTACTGACCGGTCACCGCCGCGCCGGTCCGGTCCGGTCCGGTCCGGTCCGGTCCGGTCCGGTCCGGTCTGGACCCCATCGGTCCCGAGAAACTGAAACCTCAGAGGACCTACTCGCCTCGGCCGTAATTGATTCCGGTCCCAGGTTGCTTATCTCCAAAGCTGGAACCTTACGCTGCAATATTTTACACCAATTCACTCTGTACGAGTGTGCCGGTGATTCTAATCCCAGGTCCTCGTCTGCTGCCACTGCACTGGCGTCGAGCGTCACACTCGATCGGTCAGGTCACGGGCGGCCTGCCGCAGAAAGCTTTCTGACTTGCACTCATCAATACTGCCAATTGGCTGCACTCTACCTACCCTACTTTTGTACGTCGCGGTAAGAATCTTTCTGCAAATGCATGTCGAGCTAAGACAGTTGAGACATTGATAACGTTTCTTTATGGGCGTAATGAACTTTATTTCAGCATTTATTTACATTAGAATTTGTCACCGGGTGAGGCCTACCCCTCGTTACTATGGTGAATTAATGCGTCGTGGGCTGTCCTCCTACCCCGCCCTGTCATCGACTCAGCTGATCAGCTGTTGCTCGCTGAGAGTCGGCCCGGCGCAAAGATTGCCTCACCGTGACCCTTCTCCGTTCGACCTGTGTCACCCATCTTCACCAGGCACCTGCGACTGGCGCGCGGCGCCGCTCCCGGCGGCACTTGATCCCCGTTTATGGCTGTGACAAGCTAAACCAGAGAGCGAACGACAGCTGCGACCCCCGAGACGGGATGGGACGGGACGGGACGGGACGGGACGGGACGGGACGGGACGGAGACGGGACGGACGGGACGGGACGGGACGGGACGGACGGGACGGGACGGGACGGACGGGACGGGACGGGACGGACGGGACGGGACGGGACGGACCGGGTGGGTGAGACGGTTTGGTGTCGATCGATCCCACCTGGCCGGCCGATTCCGGTCGCCGGGCAGACCCGGCCGGCCGGGCGGTACTGCGCTGATCGGAGGCCAGCGGCCGGCAGAACTTGTTGACATTACGGGAGTTCGGGTGCAGTTGACTGCGGCAGACTTCTGTTGCAGCCCCTTCGTCTCCCATTTGACTCAGTTTCGACATATTGGTCGCGAACGAAGCCGACGTGGCATGGTGGAACTTCAGTCTTTGATGAGCTTTTTTAGGTCTTGTGAGGATTTAGTGGGATTGTCGAGAATGAACACAGGGAAAGATGAAAGTGGAGCTGCTAACCCACCGCATTGACGGTCCGTGATGCTTTTGAGGCTGAAAGTTGCACGATGAGTACCGTTTTAAATAAAGTGGAGCGGTCTATAAGGTGTTCGATGTTATCCGATCTCCTCCTGAGAATTCCGCTGGCGGAGTTGTCGGGGCTGAGCTGAGTTACCAATCGCACGGCGCACCTCCCCCGGATCTGCGGGGCTTCCGGCCGTCATCCGAAGCGGCCCGGATCTGTTGTGGAGCGGAGCCTTCATCGGCCAGCCGTGTCGATCCAATTCTCGCCTCGGGACATAGCCGGAGGAGCAGCCGCAGGCGTTACATTCGCTTTTTCTGGTCTTCAAATCAACTGTACGGTAAAAATCAATTGGCTCGCACTTCACTTTATTTTCTCATTTGAAATTCATTATAGCTTGACAAAGGACACTCCTATCCAGTAGGTATCACTGACCCTTGATGAACAACAAATGTAAAACACTTTCAAAATTTAAACCACCGTGTTTGGCTGACTTGTAAATAAAAGGCAGTCTTCCTGACCCATGAAGAGCTTCACCCTCCGCTGCTGACCGGATCTGGTCGTCAGCTGCCCACCCCCGCGGGGTCGTAACCCGGCTCCAGATTCTCCCATCCCCAGCAGTGGCTTCTTAGTCATATTCTTTTCCAAGCCCAGCCTATCTTTGTTATTAGCTCTCCCACTCCCAGTTCTACCTCCAGGGCTCTGTTTCACCGGTGATAGCAGCACGCTGCTATTCCATTTCACGAGCTGACGTCACACTTCTGGTAGTGTTGGGAGGAATAGGCTTGTTGACGTCTCCATGGAAACCCAATTTGACACGTGTAATAGCAGCGTGCTGCTATCAAGCTGCTATCACCGGTGAAACAGGGCCCAGGCAGCTTTATTTTTCTCTTTAACTCTCGCCGGCATCTTAATTCACATCTGAGGGCTTCCTGGGGGCTGGAGCTCACGGTCCTCAGCTTCCCCCAGCTCCCTAGAGTCAACAGCCCTCAGCTTCCCTGCAGCTCCCTAGAGTTAACAGCCCTTAGCTTTACCAGTTCCCTGGAGCTTACAAAGTCAGCTCCCCCAGTTCCCTGAAGTCCCTCCCCGACCCTCAGCCCTTCCTCCCACCCTCCTCAGCCCTCAAATCTTCCCTGCCAACCTCTTTAGCCCTCAGCTCTCCAACCTTCCCCTCCCCGGTCCTCAGCTCTCCCTCCCACCTCTCATCTCCCCTCCCGCTCTCCCCCGCCGCCCGGCAATGCCCGTCTGTCGTCTCGCCGCCTGGTTCGGACGCCAGCTCGTTAATTTGCTCGTCGACTGAACTTGGTGCAGCGCAGCCGGCTCGAGCGGCCCCTCAGGTTGATTCGAGCTTCCCTCCCCTCCCCGCCCCGAACCGGGCAGACAGACCGGATGTAGGTCCGCCCCGGTCGACTGCGGACGCCGGCGACGGGTCCGAATGATCGGAGCGAATCGGCCTCCGGGCGCCTGTCGCGATCGGTCGGCGGAGACGACGCGAGGCCGTCCGTAGAGGCTGGTGAGGACGCTGCGAGAGCGAATCGGGGAAGGGGAGGTGAGGACGGGGCTAGGTGAGATCAGATATGGAGCGGCTTGCCAGGTGAGTACTGGGAGTGTCTCTCAGGTTAGGGTGAGCAGTTAGGTGCCCCCAGGTAAGAGCGGAGAGGCCGAGGGACCGAGCCTCTCAGATAAGGACCAGGAGTTAGCGGCTCCGCCAGGAGGACGGTATGTAGCGGCTCCCATGTGAGATCGAAGAGGGAGCATCTGCCACTGAAACGACGCTGACAGCTCTGCGTTGGACTTCTGACAGCTCTTCTTCAGTAGCTCTCTGACAGCGGAGATACCGCCAGGTAACCTGAGCAGATCGCTCCGTCTCCGTCGGTGTCCCATGACAGCCGCGTTCCCGGCGACCGACCAGCGCGTTTGTATCTGACCGGCCAGCGCGTTTGTATCTGACCGGCCAGCGCGTTTGTATCTGACCGGCCAGCGCGGCGCCCCGGACTCCGCCAGCCTCTCGCAGCCGGTGCACGCAGAGCCCGGAGGCAGACGGTGACAGTCACGAGAGAGATGGCCGCAATAATTCAGGGCTGTCAAGGATGGGAAACGGTGCTGAAAGGATGGCAGATTTTACTGGCAAGGTGGCCAGTGACAATCCTGGCTCGAGCGTAAACGGCATTTATGCATTGCAATGTTTCGATACAGCTATTGTCATAGAAAACGACAGTTTTTTGATGAATTATTGGAAAGGTCATTGGGAAGCATTCACTCTTTTACGCGCAGCTAGTGTGATAAATGATTCCCCATTGCTAACGGGTTACTATCCGAATGCACGAGATCGTGAAAATGAAAAGAATCGTAGCAGTAAAAAGAATCTGGCGGGGTGAAGTTTTCATTATGTAAACACAGCGGCTTCAGTGAGTGAAAAGGTATTTGAGGCAAGAAGGTTTTGCTGACTCGCTGCCTTTCAATGCCATTTGGCTTTTAGTGGAGTGTTTGGCATATTTGTGCAGTCCGCCGTCATACTCTCCACTCGCCCCTCAGTCATGCCTATTACCCACACGTTGGCTGTCATACTATCCAGTCACCAGTCGCCACCACAGTCCGCTGTCATGTCCACAATCCAGTCGACTGTCATACTGTCCAGACATCCCCACAGTCCACTGCCGTTATCCAGCCATCCCCACAATCCAGCCCGCCACCATACCGTTGACGTCCACTGTGGAGAAGAGAGAGCCGATGAACGCCCGAAGCGCGTCGGGCAGCTCGTCGTACTCCTTATTGAGACACGTGTCTTTGATGGCACACTTGAACTCCTCGACTGAGACCTGGCCGTCCTGGAGAGAAGTGCTCTCAGTCAGCGGGAGCACACGCGAGCAGGGAGCACGCCTGCATGCGAGCACACCAGAACACACACCTACCCTCCCATACGCACACACGGCACGCGTAGATCTCTGGCGCCGCAAGCGGAGGCCTTCCGTTGCGGGGGTTAGTATCGTTGTCGGTGAGTGAAGAAAATCCTGTGAGTGGTTTTTAGTTAGTGAGGCATGCATATTTGGATGTAGTCTTGGTTGCATATGCTGGTCAGTATTCGAATACCAGATTATGTAGGATAGGACATGCAGGTGAAAATGATAGCGTTATGGTTCTGCCACGACTGGGCGGCGCAGGTGAGGTGTCGATGCCGTGTCACGACAGAAGATGATGTCGATATTCTGCATGACAAAAATGCATGGCATTCACAGCGGAGGATCCGGTGCCTGAATCACTTCAATGAAAAACACTATAAGTGCGTTTAAGTGCAATCGTGTAGTACAACCAAATTGCAATATAAATATGGAATGTTCGAGGAAAATGATCGGCCTTTTACAGAACAGACCATTTATATATGTAGCAACTTTTATAAATCAAAATTTCGCGATGCAACAACGTGCGCAAATTTGGAAGAAATCATTAGATTGAACAATTAAGTGACTGATCATTTACTTTGGTCTTTGTTTATGATAACATTGAATTAACTATGTTTGCAAATTATTTTATTTAAGTATAAAAATGCTGAAATTTTATGACCATCTAAGGACTTTAAAATCACATTTTTTTAAACGTGCACACTCAACTGGAAGATAGGCTATAAAAAATATTCTCTCATATTACTGATGTATTGTCTCATATTAAGATATTTTGAAGATTGAAATTAGAGTTGCAAAGTTTCCCTACCGCATTACCGGCATGCCGGTAATTTTTCACTACCGCAGGTTTTTTGTGGTATCTGGCATGTCTTGCCGGTAGCATGCCGGTATTTTTGGTTTTGCACAAAAAAAAATTATTAGCATATGATTCAAACTTTGGACACTAAGAGGAAAATGTGGCATCTCTTGTAGGGGTAAACTGGAATCAATAATGCAGGTTTTTTAGTATGCCGGTAATTTGGTGGTGTTTTTGCTTTGGGCGTGGTAGCATGCCGGTATCCCCCAAAAAAATTGTGGGGCGGGGCGGTGCCGGTAGCAGCCTTTGGGGGAAACTTTGCAACTCTAATTGAAATGTTATGGGTATATGACTTGTTCATATCAGGTATGCTTGGGCCAAAAGATCACATGATGATATGGCCATTATTCAATATGATCATAGATTCATGACCTCCGATTATCAGAGCCATATACATATAGTGCTATAGCCAATAGCACGCGATGACACAGTTGACAAGACTGTACATTGTACAATGGGACCCAGCGCGACACAGGGCTTGGCAATAAACAAGAGGCAGCCACGCACCCACTTTTGTAACACAGCACAAGGGACTTAAAACACGGAATCTGCCGGCACACTTGACTCAACAATGCACTTCACTAACACACATGCACAGAAACAAACTTCATAACCCACAAAATAAAGCACAGCGTTTGTCGTTACACGGCATTGCATATTGTAAAGTTCCTTCACAACAGTCCAACAGACTGCCTGATAAGGAGCTTATTCACTACCAATTGCAGAGAGTCCGCCAAATGTCAAGCTTTCAAACTCAACATTTGAACATTGGCCGAGCCTTTGGGTTCGAGGGTCGAGCGGAGATCATTCGGGGTCGGTGCTACATTCCGGCCACATTCCGGTCGCATTCCGACCACATTCGGGTGCATTCGATCACATTCCGGGACACTAGTCTCATTCCTTGTCATCTGAGTCGCGGATGCTCCCCTACCATTCACGTCCACTGTGCCAAAGTGGGATGAGATAAACGCTTTTAGCGCGCCGGGGAATGCGTCAAACGGCTTCCCGACGCAGGCGTTTTTCACGGCCGACTTGAACTCCTCGACTGAGACCTGACCATCCTGCGGTGGCGGTACGGTCACTCAGAGCGTGGTCAGCTCGGAGTCCAAACCCGTCCGGGGGCAGGATATCCGCTATGGTAAACCGATTGATATATTACAGTGGTTATAGTTTCGAGTACAGTGCACACTGCTTTTAAAATTAGGCATTGATCATTATTTCTAATCAATGGCAGACACACTAGCCTATGATTAGATGTACATAACTCATTGTGCATATACATACATACCTAATGATGTCATGGCAAGGCATAAGAGAGCTCAACAGGACACTAATGTTACTTGCCTGCAGATGGCAAGAAGCTGTCAAACAAATGTGTCGCTTTGCGGCTGTGATAGGAAAACGAGTTTTAACATAGTTTTTACTTAGTATAAAAATAGAAATTCCTACATAGAACATTAGTTTTGTACTTAACAAAAGAAAACCCAGGGAATTGCAATAAAACTTGCAAAAAAAATCCAAAAAGAAGGACTTTGCGTAGTGGGGTCTCAAATGCACCCATATAGTCTATTTCAAAAGAAATGCCTATAATGTATGTATGGAAACGCTAATGGGGGGGGGGGATATTAGATAGGGACTATATAAAAATTTGAGTCAAGTTAACCCATGGTAAACAAAATGAAGACCAATAAACAAAATAATGGTGAAACCGTGCATAGACTCGTTTTTTAGGAAGGGTATTCAATGAACCTTTATTTGGTGTGATTGTGCAATTGGTATCTTTGATAGTGTCACTCAGATACGCGCCACAGTTGCGCTAAATTTTCAGTTTTACAGGACTGCTGATGTGATCAACTATACTTGTGCTCTGTAATGTTTGCGAGTTTAGCATAAACACGCAATCAACATGACTACAAGCTAAAATCTATTGACTACTGCCGTGATAGACAGGGCGGCAAACAACGGTAACGACGTTGTTCATCATGCGGCTACATTGTTCTGATATTTTTACCGCAACTATTTACAGTTCTGTTACAAGCAGCTTTGAAATGCTAATTATTTACATATGTAAGCTGTTAATAACAGAAGCCACAAAATGTAAGCACATGTAAGTAGCTGAAAAGCGGCACAATACTTTGACAACTTTTTAGTTTGAGCGCACCATCTTTCTTACCATTCAGGTCGACTGAAGCGAACATTTTGTCGACGAAAGCCTTCAAGGCCTGAGGGAAGTTGCTGTACGACTTTCCAACGCAAACCTTTTTTACGGCGGCTTTAAATTCGTCAATCGAAACGACGCCGTCCTGTAATGAGCAATTATTTTGTTTCAGCCATAACCTATTGCTGCAATGTTATTGCAGCTGGGAAGATGAACCGTGTAGCCTGCATCGGAATGCTCTGAGCAAAAGTCATGCAACAAAGTGAAGGGTTAAGAAATGAAAATATGATGATAACGGAAACAAAACAACTCATATTAAAAGGGAATGGAAACAGAATATGCCAAGTTATCCCGATCCATAGTCTGTAAAAGTCACTAATATGACGTAGGCGCTGTTGTCAAGCCCCATGTGTGACATACCTTGTTGAAGTCTGCAAGGTCAGCGATCTCATTCCAGAGATTCCGCATGACCTTCCTGTTCTGTTCATACTTCTCTGGCTTCACCTCGCCCTTGCTCTCAATGACCGACGTTCGCACCGCCAGACACTCGAAGTCGTTCTTGTCGAGGTAGCCGTTGTTGTCAATGTCTGAAGGTGGAAAACAGAGTCTGGCTAGTTGCGTCCAAGATATTAATTAATTCTGCTATCACGTGTAGTCGTATAGGCTATGCAGAAGGCTTATTTCACTGGTTCCATTGTTTTTTGTTTTTGTTTTTTTAGTCCGAACCTTTTGATAGGAAGGGTTCACAAGGACAGAGCCACCGCTAAGCGAGGCTTGTTGCGGTGACCCTGCCCTCTACCCTCCGATCGCGCAATTCCAGTTCTATGGCAGAATTTAGAGTCCAAAGTTTAACGTGCGCACATAGCCGCGCACGGCCGGTCTCCTCACTGACTTCGCCTGGCTACGTCCTGCCACCAACCGCAACCATACCTGTCAGGAGGCCCATAAATGTCAAGCGCCCGTCGCGCTTCGAACCCGTACTGTTATAACCGGGAACGCGTGCTCTCACCACGCGGAGTCCAACGCTCTACCAACTGAGCTACGGGACCGGCTTGTGCGATTCCTTTGCTACATAGCTCTTTCAGTTTTTTTTTAGTTTCAGTGCTTATCAGAATTACCATATGTGTTCAGTACCAATTTATTGATACACATTTCTCATTTCTAAACATATGGATAATCGAAGGAATGTTAGCGGTCAGCGGAGAAGATTAGGTGTGCTTAATTATAATTAGAATAAAAATAAAAATAAAGAGTGTTACCCCCCTACACACACGTCATGGCAAAAGATGAAAAAGAACAGCAACAAACATGTTACACATCACCCTGCAAGTGCACATTAACCCGCGCCCCGCTGGGCTATTCAGCCATACGCGCCCTGCTGGGGGGGGGGGGGGCAGATTCTGCCCCCCTGTCTAACTTCCGAACCGATGGTCGTAGAAAGACGGGGAAAACGGCAATCGAAAGCTCTCAACAAGGCGGATCTTAAGAGCCCAAATTTTTTTGCTTAAGTAGGTCAGAGGTCAGGTCAAGGTCAGGTCAAGGGTACAAAATGCAAGTTTCTACAGTATCGGCCTTGCACCGTAGTTGCCGAAGAATGGACTGAGACTGATTGCCCAAAACGTGTTCTTAGACTACCAAGACAATATTCGTTGCACACAATGTCATTCAAAGGTCAAGGTCAAGGTCAGGTCAGGTCAGGTCAGGTCACCAAAAACAAAATATAGAAAAGGGCATGTGCGACACATGTTTTATGGGTCATTTTACTCATGGAATTCAATAGGCACACTCAATAAGTGATATGGACCACCTCTGGATGAATTTCGGGTCGAGGTCAGGTCAAGGTCAGGTCAAGTGAGGTCAAATTTTGAAGTTGGTTGTTAAGGCCTAAAAAGGTGTCTATCCGATGCAGTTTTTCACGGCGAATCGAATGGTGCTATTTTCGTTTCCGTACGAGGTCTAGAACTTCCAAAAAATCATTTTTCAAAAATTTTGTGTGTCGTGACGTCATAAAATTTTGAATAACTCCCACATTTTTGAACCGATTCTTCTAAAAATTGGTATGTAGGTGCACATAGACCTCGTCTTTGACATATATTCCGGTTTTTTCGATAAACTCAAAATTTTGGATTTTATAAATATTTTCCCAAAAAAGTCAGTTTTTTGGAAAAAATTTTGGCCAAAATCCAAAATTTTCAAAAAACCGAGATAGCCATTTGATAGACAAAGTAGAATCACGTATAACATTTTTTGTTACGTCTTGATTCCTTTAAAAATGAAGATGTTAGCGGCGTTTGAAATTTTGCCGTTTTTGAGGCGAAAATGGCGAACATGACGTCACTAAAACGTCAATTTTTCAAAAATTTTCCGACGGATTTCGCTCAAATTTTCAGGGAACGTGTCAAATTGATGTATGATAAGGTACTGAAAGTTTGACGTCGCTGGCGTAACGTGTTTAGAAGTTATTGGCGAAAAACGGGAGGGGGGGCAGATTCTGCCCCCCCCCCCAGCGGGGCGCGGGTTAACAGACTCCATTTTATGTAAACTGCGAACGGTGTATTGGCGCGCATCGCTGCAGCCAGGGCTGGCGGCCCCCCGACTCTGTAGGCTGTGCCGCCCGACACTGCCGCCCGCCGGCACAGCATCCTACGCGATACCAGAGTTGGGCGGTTCGCTTAGACCCAACAGAAAATAATCAAATAGGAGTGATTGCCTCTGGGACTGGGTGAGTGCTTTGAATACCAGCTTCGAACGTCACTTGACAGTATATCCGTTCAGGTCACCAAGCTGCGCCAATGTTGGCTTGTGGCAAGGCAAGCAAAATTATCAGCGCCGGTATGGATATGGAGAGGTATGCTGACATTTTTACAGTCGGCGGCTTCTAATGGGACGAGCTCTAATCAGACTCTTGGGTCAGCTGTCAGTCATTCAGCCACTTTAGCTGGCCAATGTTTGTTGCGCGTCAACAGTGAACGATCAGCCGGGGCCCCGGCAGCGAGACAACGGAGACTGGTGAATGGAGGGAGAGCTTTGCTCACTGATCAGCTCCGAAAGGCGACCAAGTTTAACCTAAGTCTAGTTGAAACATTTGCCTTTAGTTCAAGTTGCGCCGATGCGTCCTATCAAAGAGAAAGAGAGAGAGAGAGAGAGAGAGAGAGAGAGAGAGAGAGAGAGAGAGAGAGAGAGAGAGAGAGAGAGAGAGAGA